GTGGGACTTCATCAACTGCACTGGGGGCTTCCAAGGCAACTGGGTGAGAGGGTGACTCATCGTGTACAGCAGCCTTGGGGAACTCCTCCTCAATGTGATGATCAATAGGAAGATTATCGCTTTTTTGATTCACTTCAGGATCGGTGTCGTGTAAATCTTGGTGTATCTCTTCGGTACGTGGTTCAGCAGCAGGGTCATGAGGTAGAGGTTTTGAAGCTTCCTTCTCTTTCTTCCCAACATGTGCCACTGCTTCAGGAAGAGTCTCCGTCGTTGACGTGTTACTCCCAGAGGAATTCCCTCTTTCGTTAACTAGTTCACTGCGTGAGCTGGCTACCTTCGCAGCCTCATCTAGCGCCTGTTGCTCCTTCTTCCTTGCATCCTCAATGGCTTTCAACAACTCCTCCTGTCGCTGCGTCTCTGCTTTAACCTTTTTTTTGGCCTCAATTGCGGTGGTTACTTCTTTCTGAGTTTTATTAAACAATTCTACGGCCTTTGTATATAGTTTCCTTGCAGCCAGAAACTCATCTTGAGCATCTTTCTTCGCCCTCTTAGCAGCCGCTTCTGCTTTCGTAGCGAGCTCAAGCATATTTGTGGCCATTTTAATCGCTTCAGTGGCGTTTGCCGTCGCATTTCGGGCAAACGAAGCTGCAAGCATAGTTGCTGTTACTGTTTTAATGTCGCAAGCACCATCGTTCACATCTAGCCGTTCCTCCGCCTGCCTGGCTGCCTGAGCTGTGGCCTTGACCGAACGCAACGTATCCTCAGCAATATTCGACACAGCCAGACCAGCTGTTTCTGCTTTCTTGGCCTCCTCCACTGCTGCCGTAACACTCTTCACTGCAATGTTTTCGACAAGGCGCCCCGCCGCCGTGCCATTCCCCGCAGCCCACTGTTCCACCAGATATGCGGTGTAAGCATACTTCGCTGCCAGCAAGGCATTGTCCAGTGCTTCATTTGCTTGGGCCTTGAAATTACGGCTTTTTGTTGTATCACATACCATTTTAGCCTGACCTTCGCTGTCTTTCTGCTCTCCCTCCTTTATGGCCTGCTCAGCAAGCGTCGAGACCTTTTCAATAGTCACCCTTACTTCCCCGAACAACTTCATGAACTCCCTTGTAAAATTAGCACCCACTGTAGTCATTGCATGGGTTATTTTTGCCTTCTCCGCCGCGGTCCAAGCATTATAAGCAACGGATCTTGCCTTCTCAGCTGCATCCTTCGCCGTCTTTTTTGCCTTCCTAGCAGTTACAACGTTAGCCCTTGCAGCCTCCACTGACACTGCTTGTTCGGCTGCCGTGGCGGAGACGGACACACAGAGCAGCGCAAGGGAAAACACACAGAGACCACGTCCGTGCACCATAACAGGAACAGTCATACTGGCTTGCGTGGCTTGGACTTACTTGTCTAGCGGGGAGGGAGCAGAGCAAAAGCAAACACTTACAGACGCACAATACACACACACACAACGGGGAGAGCAGCACCACACAGACCACCTCCCAGCAGCAACCGCAGCGGCCCAACATGCGCAGCGTGGCGCAGCACACACACACACAAGAGAGAGTTATTTAGAAGAATAATTCAGAGAGGGCCCTCTCTTGTGGGCGGCGCACAGTCATGTGCCAAGCAAAGCCCATTACAGCAGTGAGAGAGATGCGCCGTCCTCGTTGGATACAGAGCACAGGGAGTATCCTCCAATGGGGACTAGGTGGCGCGGGAGAAACAAACGGAAAGAAAATGAAACAAAAACTAATCCAAGACTTGTTAGTAAACAGTCTCCAGGGCAGCGCACACAAGCACACGGTGTATATGTCCTCTTCGTGTGCACAGCTCAGCACACAGACAGGAGGCCCAGCACACTAACCACCAGCAGCAACGGTGTACGCAACCACGGAGGACTGACGCTGCTGTCTGCACTTATAATATCACGGATGGTTTTGTTTGCGTCACTCGTCATGGATTGTGTTTCTTTGTCCTTCTCCGATGGTGCTGCTGAAGACTCCGCCTCGTTAGTAGACGTGCTTTTAGCTCCAGGTAGATTGCTTTCAGGGGTGTTCTTACCAGCAGCGTCAGTTTCCTGACTGCTGTCCGCGTCATTGGGGTCCTTAGTGGTGAGTTTGGAGGTAGCTGTCTTCTCCGCGATACTTTCGATGGTGCTGCTCTCTGTCGTCACGGGGAGCTCGTCCAACTCGTTCTTTGGAGGGTGTGGGACATCACTAAGTGCCTTCGGGTCCCCCGTGCCGCTGGAGGGAGGTGTCATTCCCCCATTTGAGTCAATTGGCTGCTTCTCTGATGTAGGTAGATGTTCGGGAGGCAGGTCATTCAATTTTGTTGAGGTGTCCTTTCTTCTCTTCTTCCCAGGGTTCAGTGCGTCGTCAAGAAGTTGTACCATCAGCGTGGCACTCTGGGAAGCATTATCAGACTCCTTAAATGCTGTGGTGACATTGTCATTTATCGTCACAGCAGCTTTCAACGCCTTCTCCAACATCTCCACTGTCTCCTCAGCAGTTTTCAGCAAGTCTTCCTTTGTTAGGTCTACGCCTTGAACTCCATTCCGGGAGAAATACCGGCCTATTGCTGTTTCGGCCTTCTGACTTGCATTTTGAGCACAACCCTCCACCGACCTTTCGGCTTCGACTGCAGCGTTTGCGCCGTCAACGATCTTTGCTAAGGAGGCAGTCAGTGCGTCCCTGTGCTCCCGCGCCTCCGCAAAGTCCTTCGACGCCTCCTGCTCATCATCTAACTTTGGTGCCTCCCAAATGGGTTTGTGTGTCGTAACATCACGGATCATAGATGACGCCAAAATCGACAAACGCGAAATCTGCTGTTCTGGGGCAGAAAGCGCTTGAATTGCCTCCGCTGACATATCAGCCACCTCCCGCGCCAGTCTCACAACTGTAACCCTTGATTCGCTAGCATGCTGCGCTCCAACTTCACCGTCCACGACTTTAGCTGCCTCTCGCAGCTCAAGGGCTTTTTTACGCGCAGCTTCCACCGCAGCCTTGACTTGTGCCACACCATTCGTAGCCCCTTCTTTTCCTTCCTTCAGTCGATCTGTATTCTCCTTTAAATCCACTGCAACCTGCTTCACTCGCTCAAGAAGAAACTGAGGTGTCTCCGCATCACCGTGAGGTATCTCACCAGCAGCAGCAGCAGCCACGCACAAGGCCGTGCAGCACAGAGCAGCGGCCAACACACACACAACGCAACGCACTGTCGCCATGATTCAATATCCTTTAGCAGCTGGGGTCTGCAGGGAGGAGAAAAGAGAAACGATGCACAGCAGGCAGCCCCAACACACACACACACGGAGCGGAAGGGAGCAGCAGGC